CAATTTCCATTTCCCTGGTAAAGGACACTTTTTCTGTCTATCTTTGCCACAGAAAGCAATCTTTGTGTACATTTCCATTTGTCAATAAATAATTCGAAAGGCCTTAAGCTCTGTTTTTGTGACAACTAAACAATTTTCTTGAACTGTAAGCTGAAGTACCTGTAAGAGTGCTTTCTAGGTGATAATTTCTCAAGTCAAAGCCACTGTTCTGCCTTACTGAAAAAGATTGCTGCAATGAAAGGGAGGCTTTTGGTCTGTATTAAAACTCTCCTAGAGAGACTAAGTAAGTGGGACAAAGTGCTTCCAGCACAAAACATTTCCACTGTGAAGAATTCTGCCTTCACATACTGATGTCCTGCCTAAGTCCTGTCCCAGCCTCTCGCCCTGTAACGGACCATGGGACTGTGCTTCAGGGTGCCTTTCAGAAAGGTTTTCGGCTCTCAAAGATTTACGGGAAATAATTCACGGCCCATGAATGAAGGCAGACTGACTAAAAATAGGCTTGATGCTATGAAACCTTATTTACCCAAATTATAATTAACAAGAGGGCTGTTACTTTTCCCAGGCTTTGTCTCTGAACAGCCTTGAATAAGGGGGTCAGGCTCCAGCAGAGTTTCAAGTTATAGGGTTTCTGCTTAAGGACCATACTTCCAAGCATCCAGCTAGTTTCTCTGAAAAAACAAATACCTGCTTTTCTAGGAAAACAGATTGAGTTTAAAGTTCCATTAGCCTGAAACATAGCAAAGGAAAACATTACTTTATTCCTAAAATATTTCAGAATGGAATAATTTGTAAAAATATACATGACTAGAGGATGGAAAATTACACAAAACATCCTGAAAAAAATCTATGAATTAAACTACAGTTTATTGCTACTTAACTCAGATAAACTAAGCAAAAGCAACAATAAAAGCCCTAAGATGAAAAATAAAGCAGGGTGGTGACAGTTGTAATCAGATGACTTATCTCCACTCTTTGCTTTTATAATTATATCTCCCAGGAGCTTTTTAATCTGATGCATTACATCAGAAAAATGAATTAATAGAAGCCAAAAGACTTGAAACATTTTATACTAAATACAACAATGACAAAAATGATTATCTAAATACCAATTCTGGAAAATTCCCGTATTATACAGTTGAAGATAAGAAACATACGTAACAAAAAGGAGACAAGAATTGTAGAAGACAGAACCATCGGTAACTGTAACACTCTTCTGAACCTTCATTTTTCCTCAAATTTTCCTTAACTTTTAAAATTGAGTTTTTTGTCTTCAGTATTTGAGCAAAAATTTTCTTGTTTCGAAACACTGGGTCAAAGTAAATATAACAAGTATTCACTCGGAGGCCATCTGCTGTGATAAACTGTAAATCGCTAGGTATTTCTTTCCTTAAAAATGTATTACCACTTCTTATGTTATAATCCATCACCGAAAATCTGTGTTAACTTTGGAGGCCAAAAAGGGCGGATCATTTGAGGTTAGGAGTTTGAAGTCAGCCTGACCAACATGGTGAAACCCTGTCTCTATTAAAAATACAAAAAAAAATTAGCCAAGTGTGGTGGCGCATGCCTGTAATTCTGGCTACTTGGGAGGCTGAGACACGAGAATCACTTGAACCCAGGAGGTGAAGGTTGCAGTGAGCCGAGATCACGCCACTGCACTCCAGCCTGGGCAACAGAGTGAGACAGACTCCGTCTCAAAAAGAAAAAGAAAGAAAGAAAATCTGTGTTAAAATGTCATTTTAACTATCAGAATTGTGCACCACCAGCTAGTGGTCAAAAACTAGTTGAAGGGCCAAGAGCAATGACTTACACCTGTAATCCCAGAACTTTGGTAGGCCAAGGCAGGAGGATCAACTGAGGCCAGGAGTTTGAGACCAGCCTGGACAAAAATACAAACATTAGCCAGGTGTGGTGGTGCATCGCTGTAGACCTGGCTACTTTGGAGGCTGAGGTGGGAGGATCACTTGAGTGCAGAGGTTTGACACCGCAGTGAGCCATGATCACACCACTGCACTCCAGCCTGGGCAACAGAATAAGACCTTGGTTCTAAACAAACAAACAAACTAGATGGAAAGTAGCTTTAAACAATGTACCTCCTTATGTAATATTATTATTATTATTTTTTGAGACACGGTCTCATACTGTCATCCAGGCTGGAGTGTAGTGGTGCAATTATAGCTCACTGAGCCCTCCCAAGTAGCTGGGACTACAGGCACGTGCCACCACATGCGGCTAATTTTTCCCTTCCTTCTTCCCTCCCTCCCTTCCTTCTGCTAATTTTTCTTTTTTCTCCTTCCTTCTTCTCTTTCTCTTCCTTTCCTTTTCTTTCCTTCCTTATTTTCTTTCTCTCTCTCTCTCTTCCTCTCTCTCTCTCCCTTCCTTTCCTCCCTCCCTCCCTTTCCTCTCTTTCTTTCTCTCTTTTCCTTCTTTCCTTTCCTTCCTTTCTCTCTCTCTCTCTCTTATCCCACTATATTTTCCACACTGGTCTTGAACTCTTTCCGGCCTCTGCTTTCTTAAATAATTTCAACATGTAGGGAAAGTAGGAACATAAGAGGCATAAAGAAGGGGGAGGAGCACAACGTAGTGAAAACCAGAGGGAGAAACAGGAAAGTGAATACTGATCCCTGATACCCCTAAAACTCAGTCCTAGGCAGTGGTCCACCAATCACTGGCAGCTACCTTCCTTGCACAGATAATGCCTTTACAGCCCAGAAAATCTTCTGTAAAATATGTTATTTCAAATCTGAAATACATATCCCCCACCCATGTAATGTCTGTGTATATTTATGCCTGCAGATGTAGCTATACTATCTATATATCTATCTTATAGTAGACATTATATAGTTATTTAAAATGGGGTTGTTGTGGGGCCAGGTGTGGTGGCTCACACCTGTAATCCCAACACTTTGGGAAGCTGAGGCAGGATGATCGCTTGAGCCCATGAGTTTAACACCAGCCTGGCAAAATAGCAAGACCCCGTCACAAAACAATAACAACAACAACAACAACAAAACAGGGTTGTTGTAACATTGGGGGATTTTTTAAAAAAAAGAAAAAATGTAAAATGGGGAAGTAGAAGAAATGCCAGGGAAAATCTACATAATTACTTCAGTCTTACTTTCCTTCTAACTGAAGAATGCATTGTAAACTACTATAAGGTATTATTCCTAGAATATCATGATGATAGCCACAATTATAATGCAGTAAAATGATGAGTAAAAAGAACACAGAGGAGCATTTTGATAAATATGTGGTCCCAGTCTGCAGCAGAGATTGTAAAAAATTTAAAAACATGGCGCTCCTCATTTTCCTTCATAAACACTTTGCAAGTGGTTTAGGTAATACAAAAGACAAAGAGTTAACACAGCACTGAAAAGAAACAGGGCCATTTTCTACATTTTTAAAGTATCTCAATTTAAAATAATTAAATCAACCAACCTGGCAAATTCTTTTTTTTTTTTTTTTTTTTTTGAGACGGAGTCTCGCTCTGTTGCCCAGGCTGGAGTGCAGTGGCCGGATCTCAGCTCACTGCAAGCTCCGCCTCCCGGGTTTACGCCATTCTCCTGCCTCAGCCTCCCGAGTAGCTGGGACTACAGGCGCCCGCCACCTCGCCCGGCTAGTTTTTTGTATTTTTTAGTAGAGACGGGGTTTTACGTGTTAGCCAGGATGGTCTCGATCTTCTGACCTCGTGATCCGCCCATCTCGGCCTCCCAAAGTGCTGGGATTACAGGCTTGAGCCACCGCGCCTGGCCCCTGGCAAATTCTTAACAATGTTCCATAATACTGGCACAATCTCCACTGGTTTTATAAGACAAGATGCCTAAATTGGAGGCTTAGATATTTTTAGAAAAAAAATATGACATTACAGGGTTTTTTTTCTATTAAAGAAACTGTTCATTTAAGGAAATAAAGTGTATTTCCTCTCTGAAAGTGTAACAGTTCACTGAACACTTTAGTCTGGTAGCATACAGGTGACATGCGGCTGCTGGTAAGAATGAGCTCACACCAATAAAACCGCAAGGGCACCATATCCAGGCAAACCCCAGGTAAAAGAACAGAGTAAAATGTCTGAGGAATTTAGTCAAGTTCATGTATGTAAAATGTTGGACTTGAGCTCTGACAAGGCTACACTGAGAAGATCTGACCGCGTTAACAGCAAACGGTTATTGACAGCTCACTACTCACAATTTTCATGTTCTCTTTCAAGAAACCTAAGAGATAGACAAACTCCCCTGCAGCTTGGTCTCATGGCTAAGACAATCTCATGGACACATCAAGCTGCAGGGGAGGGTCGTGTGGAACTTTCAGGAAGGCTATTTAAAGGGAGCTGACTCACAGCTGGGACACATGCCCTTTTGCTTCCATGCCTCCCCTTTCTCACCCAGGATGACGGCTGGTGCTCTAGCCATCACTTCCTGGCCTACAGGACGGGAGCTCCATGCTGGACAATCAACTAATCAGCCTTGCATTACTTACCTCAAAACTTTTTATATGAGAGAATAAACCCCTGCAGCGGTAAGCCACACCTACATGCAGCCACACCTGATCCTGATATACACAATTATATAGATGGGGAAAAAAAAAATCAAGGTTAGAGAGGTTAAGTAATATGTCCAAAGTAACCCAGCAAGAAAGGAGCAAGGAGCAAAGCAGCCCAGGTCCGTTGACTCCATGGCCCACGCTCTCCACGAAGCTCCACAAAGGCAGCACCGTAGCACCGTGCCTGGCACATCGCAGGTACACAACGGATCTCTCTCAAATACACGAATGACTTTGTTATACAGCCTCATTAGTATTTCAGATAGGAGTTTAAACACAGCCTCCATCACACTGTATTCCTTCAGAAATTTTAAACACATAGGAGAAAATGCATTGTTTTGTCAATAAAACTAGGACATCTGTGAAATAAACATGGAAGACAGTATCTAATTGTAAAGCACTAAAATAGATTAAATCACATCAATTCTTGAAAAAGAGTAAATAAACTATTTTCTTACCGATAGTCACATCTCCTCTGATTTCACTTTCTACACATACAACTGCTCCAGGAGCAATCTTCACACTGTAGCAAGAAAAAGGTAACATTTACCAGGGGTAAGATTAAAAATACTGTTGGAGAAGCTACCCTGACACTGTAATGAAAACAAGGTTTAAAAAATGATGGAAAAAAAGACCAGATGCAGTGGCTCACACCTGTAATCCTAGCACTCTGGGAGGCTGAGGTGGGCGGATCACCTCAGGTCGGGAATTCGACACCAGCCTTACCAACACGGAGAAACCCCATCTCTACTAAAAATACAAAATTAGCTGGTGTGGTAGCGGGCACCTGTAATCCCAGCTACTCGGGAGGCTGAGGCAGGAGAATCACTTGAACTCGGGAGGCGGAGGTTGCAGTGAGCCGAGATCGCGCCACTGCACTCAAGCATGGGTAATAAGAGTGAAACTCCATCTCAGAAAAAAACAAAAAAAGATGGAAAAATGGAAAGTCAATGGTAAGAGGGTAAGGTTTTAATAGATTATAAATTTTTCAATTGGTATATTGTCCATCATCCCAAATCACATGTGCTATAGTATTAAAATGCTTGAGAAGAGTTTTGAACCTTTTCTTTTAATATCAGCATGTTTCTAAACAGCAAACAGCTGAAAACAACCTAGATATTCATTAGTGGAAGATCAGTTAATAAATTATGGTATATTATAGACTATTACATGGTCATCAAAAAGAATGAATAATCTCTTGTCAAGATTTTAGAATGGCTGTGCACAGTGGCTTACACCTGTAATCCCAGCACTCTGAGAGGCCAAGGAAGGAGAATTGCTTAAGCCCAGGAATTCAAGACCAGTCTGGGCAACATAGTGCGACCTCATCTCTTAAAAAAAAAAAAAAAAAAAAAAAAAGGAACGATCTCCAAGCTATATTGTTAAAAGTAAAAAAAAGTGAAGTGAGAAAATAGACAGTATATAATATGCCATTATTTTTATAAAGGCAGGGTGAAAAAATATACATTTAAACTATTTAACAACCAGCAAAGTAATACTAACTTAGAAATTTAAAATTTACAAATACTTCTATTTACTCTCATATATATACATACACACACACAAACATGAGAGAAACTTTTTACAAAGTAATATAAATTGTAGTACAAATTGTTCAAAAGACTCTAATAATTTCCATATAACTTATTGATGCTTTTTTATATTCTGCTGTTATCTTTTGTTTGACAAAGCTGTATGTAAACACCGACCCTAGCTGAACCATGAGCTGACATGAGGAAGTGCATCAAATGACTTCTCCATTACAGTGATGGTTATTAGGAAACTTCATTAAGAAAAGAATTTTTCTAAATGGCAATGACATTCACGGTGTTAAATCTGCTCTCAGCTACTATGAAATAACACTAACATTTTAGATATTTTGTCTTCGTAATTTTGTTTGGATTTTTCAAAATTTTGATTTCCAATTGTTCCACTTTGGGCTGGGCATGGTGGCTCATACCTGTAATCCCAGGACTTTGGGAGGCCAAGGCAGGTGGATCACCTGAGGTCAGGAGTTTGAGACCAACCAACCTGGCCAACATGGCGAAACTCTGTCTCTATTAAAAATACAAAAATTAGACGGGCATGGTGGTGGGCGCCTATAGTCCCAGCTACTGGGGAGGCTGAGGCAGGAGAATGGCGTGACCCCGGGAGGCAGAGCTTGCAGTGAGCCGAGGTAGCGCCAATGCACTTCAGCCTGGGCGACAGAGCGATACTCCATCTCAAAAAAAAAAAAAAAAAAAAAAAGAAAAGAAAAGTGTAAATGTTTGTGCAAGAACACTTATGTAAAAATATTAAAACACTATTTTATCTATTCTATGTTGAAATACCATATGCATACATCTAAGCAGAGACTAGTAAGTAACAAAGTAAAAACCTCTTCCCCCTCCCAGGTTGGACATCACCGAATGAGTAGAAGCACGAAAGTCATGAAGAGAAAGGCAGCAGGTAAGGCTGGGAGGAAAAGCAGGACCAGCCCATGAACAAGCTTGTACACCATGACAAGGGATTTGAATTTGCACCTGTAGGCAAGAAGTCACTGAAGGATTCCCATTCCCAAGCCAACAATGTCACAAAATGGTATGCAGATAATTGACACGTATGAAGAAGTACTTGGCGGTGGTGGGGGTCAGGGAGGCAGCTGGTCTAATCCTATAGAGAGAATGCACGCCTGAAATGCTGTATTAGTCCGTTTTCACACTGCTATACAGAACTTCCCTGAGACTGGGTAGTTTATAAAGGAAAGAGGTTTAATTGACTCACAGTTCCACATGACTGGGGAGGTCTCAGGAAACTTACAATTATGGCGGAAGGTAAAGGGGAAGCAGGCACCTTCTTCACAAGGCAGCAGGACAGAGAGACAGTGAGAGCGCAGGGAAAACTACCATTTATAAAACCATCAGGTCTTGTGAGAATTCACTCACTATCACGAGAACCGCATGGGGGAAACCACTCCCATAATCCAATCACTCAGATTACTCGTCCCTCCCTCAACAGGTGGGCATTATAATTCAAGATGAGATGTGAGTGGGGACACAGGGCCAAACCACATCAAATGCACTGGTAGCACATAGGAGAAGCTGCAGGTATGTCTAGGAAATAGAAACAAGACTTGGCAATAAACACATTTAATAAAAATCTGGTTTCTAGGCAACGTTGAAGGTAGGTACTTCCCATTCCTTGTTACAGGCCCCAAGGACCATAAAGTGTGTATAATCACATCCCTCAGTATCCAGTATCTGTGGGAGATTGGTTCCCAGACCAATCCTCAGATGTTCAAGTCTCTGATATAAAATGCTGCAATATTTGCATAAAGCCTATACACATCCTCTCATACTTTGTCATTTCTAGATAATTTACAATACCTAATATAATGTAAATGCTCTGTAAATAGTTATACTGTATTGTTTACAGACACAATTTTTTTTTCCTATTTTCGATCTGAGGTTGGTTGAATCCATGGATGTGGAACCCATGGATATAAAGAGCAAACTATATTTGCTTTCTTCTCTGTGGAGGGGAAATAAGTTTGACTAGTGTATTAGTCTGTTCTCACACTGCTAATAAAGACATATTTGAGACTGGATAATTTATAAAGGAAAGAGGTTTAATTGACTCACAGTTCAGCATGGCTGGGGAGGCCTCAGGAAACCTACAACTATGGCAGAAGGGGCAGCAAACATGTCCTTCTTCACATGGTGGCAGGGAGGAGAATGAGTGCCCAGTGAAGGGAGAAGTCCCTTATAAAACCATTAGATCTTGTGAGAACTAACTCATATCATGAGAACAGGAAGGGGGAAATGGCCCCCATGAGTCAATTATCTCCACCTGGTCCCTCCCACAACATGTGGGAATTATGGGAACTACAATTCAAAATGAGATTTGGGTGGTGACACAGCCAAACCATATCAACTACAGAAGGATGGGGGTGAGGGGCATGGAGTGAAATAAGGAAACTGGTGCCATCCTGTCCCCTTCCTGGGAAGGGATGATTTCTGATGGAGAGGGAAACTCAAATTCCAGGGCTCAAAATCAGCTGCTCTGACTCAGCTTCATTTATGCCAGAAAAACAACCCAAACCAGCCCGGGTCACATGGTAAAATCCAATCTCTACAAAAAATAGAAAACTTAGCTGGGTATGGTGGCTTACACCTGTACTCCCAGCTACTTGGGGGGCTGAGGCGGGAGGACTGCTTGAGGCCAGGAGGTAGAGGTTGCAGTGAGCCGAGATCGCATCACTGCACTCCAGCCTGGGTGACGGAGTGAAACTCTGTCTCAAAAAAAAAAAAAAAAAGAAGGAAAAAAAGAAAAAAGAAAAGAAAAAGAAAACTAACCAAAAGTCAGGAGCCAGGGAGCAAAGTCAAAGCCTCTAGGTTTCTGATCTGGAAAACTAATGGCACCATCTGAGAATAGCCTATGGGAGGAGGGGCAGATTTCAGAGAAAAAAGTCATTTGGCTAAATTTTAGATAAACTCAGTCTGAGGTATCTATGGAATAGTCACCAGATATGCCCAATAAGCGACTGAAAATACAGATTTTGAAGCTCATAAGAGTTCTAAAAATACAGCTGTGAGAGACAGAAGGGTAAAGATTCTTTCATTAACATGACTCTCCATCATTTCTATGCCAGAATCTTACCCCAAAGTATTCCCTAATATACATGCAAAGTAAGATGAAAACTATTTTTCAGATTGTACCAATTTCCCTACTAGTGTGATGAACTAAAAAAAAAAGACATACACAAATTTTTCTTCCACAATTTAGGGTGGACAAACTTCACACCGCAATGTATTTTTAAAGCTCTAAGTAAAGAAAAAAATAATGTATCAGATAGAAAAAACTAATAATCCCTGAGTCTATCTTCAAGAAATGGTTTTGAGAATAGACACAACTCCAGCTGTTTCCATCATTTTGTCAGGCTCTGACTTTTTACAAGGCATAAGTCAATGAAATCCTACCAATGGTCCTTCTGGGTGATACAGCCTGTCAAGAGTCAATTTGGGCCAGGTGCAGTGGCTCACGCCTGTAATCCCAGCACTTTGGGAGGCTGAGGCGGGCATATTCCTTGAGGTCAGGAGTTCGAGACCAGCCTGGCCAACATGCTGAAACCCTGTCTCTACTAAAAATACAAAAATTGGCCAGGTGTGGTCGTGGGCACCTGTAGTCCCAGTTACTCAGGAGGCTGAGGCAGGATGATCGCTTGAACCCGGTAGGCAAAGGTTGTAGTGAGCTGAGATTGCGTCACTGCACTCCAGCCTGGGCAACAGAGTGAGACTCCAATTCAAAAAAAAAAACAGGAAGCAGGCATGGTGCAAAGCTTTCACGGCACTCCAACCTGAGCGACTCTGTCTCAAAAAAAAAAAAAAAAAAAAAGTCAATCTGCTGAAATAACAGAAAATACGTAGCCCTCCTACTGTATTGGAGAAGAAAGATTTTAGTAAGATTAGAAGAAAGAAATTAGAAGAAAGTAAAAGAAAGAAAACTTTAGTAAAAGCAGAAAATCACCTGGTCTAACCCTCTCATATTACAGAAAAAACTGAAATTCAGAGACTAGAAATTTCTTGGAGCACAGTTCATTCCTGGGGCATCACTGTCCTGAAATCAGTCATCTCTCTTCTAGTTGAAAGTTTTCTGGAAACATCCTGTCACTCCAGATGTTTTTCCATGATAAATGAATGACACTGTCCTTGAATGTATCACCATCTGTAAATGTCATTTCTCCGACACTTTTCACTTAAAGTGGGTTTTTATGGTAAAATATGCAGTTTTATTAAGCCCTGGTCAAATAAATTAGCCTCTATAAAATGTCTCTTGTTTTAGACCTTATTTCTCATTGCAATTTTCCATTTCCTCAGCTTCCTTCCCATTATGAAAAGAGCATTATCTAACATTTAACTTGTCCCGGGCAACTGAGAGTAGGAGAGACTCACAAGTGCCCCCTGCCTTCAGTTTTACGCCCAAGGGAGAGATCCCAGGTAATGCTTGCATCACAATCAGCACACTTCTCAGTGGGGGAGGGAAGAATTAATTCACCAACTAGGCCAACTAAAACGTGGTCCCAATATCTCTGCAAGGACCCCTCTGTATCTCGGAGTGGTGGGAGCAGAGAGGTGAGCCGGCAGATGGGAGGGCAAGACTTAACCTCAGATCTGTTAAAGTAACAAGTCAACAATACCTTCATCTTCACTGTCAGCTACTATCTACTGCACATAATATTTATAACACATCTGTTCCTCTTTAGCTTACAAAAAAAAAATTATAGAGCATCTGCTTAAATGGAAGAAAAATCTAAATTTTAATTTACGGCACCAGAAACAATGTCAGTTTTCTTTGTCAAAAAGAGTCAGCAGAGGGAGCTCAACACTGCTGCTGTTCGAAACGGCTTTACTTTTGCACTTGTGACATCCCAGCCACCAACAGCCACCAAGAGACCCCAGCAATGAAGACTACCGGAGAAACAGCCAAAATTGCCCTCCCCATATGTTTACAAAGGAGCTTGTTCACTCCACGCCTGGCAGAAAATGTCACAGTTCTAAGCTTATACACTATCGGTGGGAATGTAAATTAGTTCATCTATTGAAAATAGTATGGTGACTTCTCAAAGGACTAAAGACAGAAGTACCATTGGACCCAGCAATTCATATAGAACTACCAATCCAAATGGAACTACCATTCGACCCAGGATCTACTCAAAGAAAACCATCGTACTAAAAAGACAATTAAACTCCTTTATCACTGTACTACTCACAATAGCAAAGTATGGAATCAACCTAAGTGTTCATCAACGGATGACTGGATAAAGGAAATGGGGTGTATCTATACGATGGAATACTACAGAGCCATAAAAAAGAAAGGAATCATGTCTTTTGCAACAACATGGATGGAACTGGAGGCCATTACCGTATGAAATAACTCAGAAACAAAATCAAATGCACATGTTCTCACTTTTAAGTTGGAGCTAAAATGAGTACACAGAAACATAAAGAGGGAAATAACAGACACTGGGGACTCTAAAAGCAGCGAGGGTAGGAGGGGTGTGAGGGCTGAAAAATTACCCATCGAGTACAACATTCACTATTTGGGTGATAAGTACACTAGCTCAAACTTCACCATTACGCAATATATCTGTGCAACAAATCTGCGCATGTACTCCCCGCATCTGAATATATAGTGTGTGTGTGTGTGTGTGTGTGTGTGTGTGTGCGCGTGCGTGTGGGTCACAGTTCGAGGCGCGGATCCCCTTCTGACAGCGACCGTAAATCCCTTTACACACCCCACCCTCCAGAGACAGGAAGGGCCTGGGGTGCGGCCAGCACTGGCGTGGGGTCTCGCAACATGCAGCAGAGAATCCAGCGCCAAGCCGTGGGGTACAGCTGCCCCAAGTACCGCCGATTGTGCTGGAGAAGGGAGCCCGCCTCCCCCTGCGCCCCAAGAAAAAGCTGACGTCACCCTCTCCTCGCAGCCCCGCCGGGAGACCCCCTCTGCGCAGGCGCCTACGGGGAGGGAAGGACAGACAGGAACAAAAACCTTCCAGGCGGTGACTCCGTGTCCCTTCTCAGCCCTCCCCGCCCCCACTCCGTAGCCCCCTCCCTCAGTGGACGCCAGGTCTGGGCTTGAGGTACCTTCAGCCCGAAGGCCCAGGATGAGACACCCTCTGAGTCGCCACCATTGGCGAGAACAGGTTCCACCCCTACGCAAAGCTGAGAAAGGGCTTTTCTCAAGCAGCAGACCCACCTCTTTTGAGTCTTCTCCGCCATGGTACGGCCCCAATTGGAGCGGAGATCCACACCACCGCCTGGGTAGAGCGATAATTCCACACGCGATTGGAGAGCCTGGCAGGGTTGGGAGAGGGGTGGAGCCGGGGTGGGGCGAGGACTCTGCGGGGCGGGGTCAGGGAAGCTTGCGGCTGTTGTTTGCGTCGAGTCTGGGCGCACGGGACTGTGCGTGGCAGCGGTGCGGGGCGGTAGACCCTAATTTGGAACAGCCATTGACTGGTCACAGGCCAGCACTTTGGGAGGCCGAAAGGCCGAGGCAGGAGGATCGCTCGAGGCCAGGAGTGCGAGACTGCGAGACCAGCCTGGTAACAGTGAGACCCTCTCTTCCTGAAAAAAAAAAAAAAAGAAAAAGAAAAAAAGCCGGTCACAATGACCTGCGCCTTTACACCTAGTTACTCGAGAGGATCGCCTGAGCCCAATGAAGCTGCAGCGAGCTATGAGCATACCACTGCACTCCAGCGAGCTATGAGCATGCTACTGCAGTGCAGCCTGGGCTACAAAGCTAGATAGTATCTCTGATAAAAGAATAAAAGCTGTTTATTGCAATCCAGTGCGCGTCATTATGCCCTCATTTTACCCACTTGCGTAGGCGTAATCATACCCTAAAGATATTCCTCTGACCTCGCCGTTGCTTCTTTTCAGCCTCTGCCTTTCTCTACACATTAGGACTTTTCCTGGCCCTTTTCTCGCTCTATCCTTCCTATAGGTTAAGTGCCCTCCACCTGCTTGCTCTCTAATGAATGTATCTGGTTCTGCCCGCTCTGCCGATCTTCACACCTGATATTCGGTTGACTGACATCTCCACTCAGAGTCATATCGAACCTAAAACTTCCAGAACTTCGATTAACACTCCCGTCCTCCCTCCAACCTGCTGCTTTTTTGATCCACACCATTTGCCCAGTTGCTCAAGCCAGACACTCGAGAGTCACCCTGGCACTCCTCACCCCTACATCTTGTAATAGACCTGCAAGTTCTGCTTGTCCTAGCTCGGGTCTCATGCTTACACTTTACCCTGTCAACCCGACCATCTCTGTAATCTAATCTCAGCTGATGCGTCTCTCTCAATTGTTTGCTCCTTCCATACTTGGCCTCTGAAATCACACCCCCTCATCTCACCCCCCCAACCCTGATCCAAGTAATTCTCCTGTAGTCAAAATCATCCTTTAAAAGACAAATTGAGGCCGGGCACGTGTCTCACACCTGTAATTAATCCCAGCACTTTGGGGGGCCGAAATGGGAGGATCGCTTGAGGCCAGGAGTTGGAGACCAGCCTGGTCAACACAGCAAGATCCCATCTCTATATTTTTTTCTATAATGTATTTTTTTAAAAATGGAAAAATAAGAGCCAAATTCAGTTATTTTATTTCCCCTTTCTCTTAAAATCCACACTGCTTTCCATAACCTATCTCTGAGCTACATCAAGCCCCTGCCTACTTCTCTCTTCTCTCATTTCGTGTTCCTCTTCCTCTTTCTATGTGTTGGATCACACCCTCATTCTCCAAAAAAGAAAAGCTGACACTCCACCCTCAACTGCTTTCACTTGCCCCCACCCTAACACCTTCTGACCCTTTATCTCTCAGATGTCACATACTCAGTTTTCAACCAGAGAAACAGAACTAGTAGTAGATGTATATCAAGAGGTTTATTGTAAGGAATTGGCTTACATGATTGTGGGGCTCCAGCTAAGCAAGTCCAAAATCTGCACACTACGCTGGAACTCTCATGCAAGGGGTGAGGCTATTGTTTACAGGAGGAATTTCTTCAGGGAAGCCCAGCTCTGTCTTATGGCCTTCAACTGATTGAATCAGGCCCACCCAGATTAGCCAGGATAATCTCCCTTCCTTAAAGTGAACATCAGTTCACTTTAGGAAGGATGGACTTTAATCACATCCACAAAATACCTTTACAGCAGCATCTAGATTAGTGTTTGACTAATGACTTGGGAATGTAGCCTAACCAAGTTGACACAAAAAAACTGACCATCACACTCAGGGACTTAGTTCTTTCTGGCTGCTATAACAAAATACAGTTGGCCCTTTGTATCTGTGGGTTTGACATCTGTGATTGGTTGACATCAACCAACGTGGGATCAAAAATTTGGGAGAAAAATATTACACAAGTTTCCAAAAAGCAAAACTTGAATTTGCTGCATGCCAAGTACTACATTGAAGCCATGTGAATGAAGTGATATGTAGGAATTGTATTAGATATTCTGAATAATATAAAGATGATTGAAAGGATATGGGAGGGTATGCATCAGTTAGTTATATTCAAATATTACACCATTTTATATCAGGGACTTGAGCATCTGCAGATTTTGGCATCAGGGTATCCGGGAACCAGTTCCCCAAGCATACTGAGAGTCGGTTATACCTTAGACTGGATACAGTAGTCCTTTCTTATCCTCGGGGGTTACATTCCAAGACCTCTAGTGGATGCCTGAAACCACAGATATTACTGAACCCTCTATATACTATGCACGCATTTCCTTTTCCTCATTAATAGTTTTATGGATAAAAGATTTATTCTTACCATAGATCTTAGCAACCTCAGAATATAGGTTTGGTTTCTTTCCCTTTTAAATCAAGACATTTTCACATTTTCACTTAAAGAAAGCATTTTACAGTTTCTCTTTGGCAGATCCAAATCACCAGCATCGCTACTTTTGTGCTTTGGGGCCATTATGAAGTAAAATAAGAGTGACTTGAACACAAGCACTGTGATACTACAACAGTGTATCTGATAACTGAGAAGGCCTTAATGGGCAGGTAGTATCAACAATGTGGATACTGAGGACAAAGGGATGATTCATGTCCTGGCCTAGAGAGAGCAGGATGGTACCAGAGTTCGTCATGCTACTCAAAATGGTGTGCAATTTAAAACTCACGAATTGTTTATTTCTGGAATTTTCTATGTAATATTTTTGGACTGACGTTGACCACAGAAGATGAAACCATGGATAAGGGCGACTACTGTTATTTATAAACAAAGACATTTATTCCTAACAGTTCTAGAGGCTGGGGAGTCCAAGATCAAAGCGCTGGAGATTCTATGTCTGATGAGAGCCCTCATCACCTAATCACCTCCCAAATGTCCCACCTTTTAATTGCCAAGTAGTCAATAAAATATCAGATGTGAAGCTCGGCAGAGAGGACAGAACCTCGAAGGTTTTATGTCAACATATGAATTCTGGAGGGACACAAACATTCAGACCATAGCACCATTTAATAAAAAATAGGCTACCCTTCGTATTCTAATTATTTTCTCAATGGGGTATGGATTGCACTCATCACCAGCTATACTTACTTATCTTACCATTCCCCACAAAGACTTAAGTTCCACGAAGGTAGGACCGTGTGAGTTTTGTTCCCACTCTTTACTCAGCACCAACCACAGTGCCTGGTGCATGGTTGATATTCCCGTAAACTTGTTGAATAAGTATATGCATGAATTTAGAGTATCCTGTCACTGCCAACCATGTAAACACCTATCCATTTTCAAGCAATGTCAATCTATATTAATTTGAAAGACTTCTATGGCATACTTATAAAGGACCATTTTATCAGTATTAGGTACAGTGTCCAGGGCCCATAGGCTTTTTGGGGATCAATGAACTGTTTGAAACCTGAAAATAAAATGTACTGATTCCAGAATGCAAAAAGTACAGGTAGGAATTAATTAATACTAACGCCAGGCACAGTGGCACATGCCTGTAACCCCAGCACTTTGGGAAGCTGAGGCAGGTGGATTGTTTGAGTTAGGAGTTCGAGATTAGTCCGGCAACATGGCAAAACCCTGTTTCTACAAAAAATACAAAAATTAGCGAGGCGTGGTGGCATGTGCCTATAGTCCCAGCTACTTGGGGCCTGAGGTGGGAGGATCACTTGAGCCCAGGAGGTCAAGGTTGCAATGAGCCAAGATCATGTCTCTGCACTCTAGCCTAGGCAACAGAGCAAGAGCCTGTCTCAATAAATAAATAAATAAGTAAATGCACATGTACTTTTTTTTTTTTTTTTGAGATGAGTTTCACTCTTGTTTCCCAGGCTGGAGTGCAATGGCATGATCTCAGCCCACTGCAACCTCTGCCTCCCGGGTTCAAGTGATTCTCCTGCCTCAGCCTCCTGAGAAGCTGGAATTATAGGCACCCGCCACCATGCCTGGCTATTCTTTTTGTATTTTTAGTAGAGACAGAGTTTCACCATGTAGGCCAGGCTGGTCTCGAACTCCTGACCTCAGGTGATCCACCTGCCTCTACCTCCCAAAGTGCTGGGATTACAGGCATGAGTCACCGCGTCCAACCCCATACATACATACTTTTTTTTTTTTTTTGAGACGGAGTCTTGCTCTGTCACCCAGGCTGGGGTGCAGTGGCCGGATCTCAGCTCACTGCAAGCTCCGCCTCCCGGGTTTATGCCATTCTCCTGCCTCAGCCACCCGAGTAGCTGGGACTACAGGTGCCCGCCACCTTGCCCGGCTAGTTTTTTGTATTTTTTAGTAGAGATGGGGTTTCACCGTGTTAGCCAGGATGGTCTCGATCTCCTGACCTCGTGATCCACCCGTCTCAGCCTCCCAAAGTGCTGGGATTACAGGCTTGAGCCACCGCGCCCGGCCTCCACACATACATACTTAATGTCTACAAAGCAACTGTTTTCTTAACTAATCAACTGCAATTCAACTCTTCTGTACCTAGAAATTATATTTAATGTGGGATATGGTTTCATTCAATATGTTTAATACGATGTTAGCTTGTTTAGTTCCTTAGGGAGCCCTCTTCTTCCCTGTTGGGAATAAGCCCCCAAAATCTGGCCATAAACTGGCCTCAAAACTGGCCATAAACAAAATCTCTGCAGCAGTGTGACGTGTTCATGATGGCCACAACACCCAGCTGGAAGGTTGTGGGTTTACTGGAATGAGGGCAAGGAACACCTGGCCCTCCCAGGGCGAAAAACCGCTTAAAGGCGTTCTTTTTTTTTTTTTTTTTTTTTTTTTTGAGACGGAGTCTGGCTCTGTCGCCCAGGCTGGAGTGCAGTGGCTGGATCTCAGCTCACTGCAAGCTCCGCCTCCCGGGTTTGCGCCATTCTCCTGTCTCAGCCTCCCGAGTAGCTGGGACTACAGGCGCCCGCCACCTCGCCCGGCTAGTTTTTTTGTATTTTTTTAGTAGAGACGGGGTTTCTCCATGTTAGCCAGGATGGTCTCGATCTCCTGACCTCGTGATCCGCCCGTCTCGGCCTCCCAAAGTGCTGGGATTACAGGCTTGAGCCACCGCGCCCGGCCTAAAGGCGTTCTTAAACCACAAAAATAGCAGGAGCTATCTGTGTCTTAAGGACATGCTCCTGCTGCAGATAACTGGCCAG